CAAGGATATTAAAATCTGAATAGCAACACTGAATACTGTAGAAATGCACTTTGCTCAGTGTAATACTTGAGTTGTTGCAATATTTGATTATCCATTTGGTTGTTACAGAGAATCCTTAACTGTAATTGATGGTGGTTGCCGTAATAGTATATTGCCTGTATTTCTACCTCTAGTAATGGGCTTTATGTGCTAGATTTTAATATCCTTGAGCCTGGGCAAGTGCACAAGTCTTTTAAAAAGAAACATGGTTTACTTGCACAAAAATGATCAGTTTGAAGAGGTGGATAGATGCCCATGGAAGTGGTCTTTGTGGGTATGAAATAAAATGGTGAGAAACTGAATTGGTCCCTATGATAGTATTGGAATTAAGTCTACTTAATTTATCAAGACATGTTCATGCCCTGATTTTATATACTTGTATCTATCAATAAACATTGTGATACTTGAATGTTTGTTGAAATGGCTGCTCTTTATATTTACTTTGAAAATAGATTCTGAAGCAGGAATGATGTGACTTTCCCTCAATCCCATTTAATTAGATATACCTTGTATCGTAAAGTTTCTGGAGTGGGCAGGGCAGCTCTATTTCATTATTTCCCAATTGTGAATCATGAAAACACCTGTAATTGATTCATGTGTCAGAATCATGTTTGAGATCCCTGTAATACTAACTCCTGTGGAAGTGCTTGATATCTTGACATCTTCTAAACCCCAGGGTAAGACAACTTAAGAGCCAAGTGTTGAAAAGGGTAAATTGGTAAGGATTAGTTGTTTCCTATTACCTTAAATATTCCCAGAAATTCCTGGAGTTCAAGTTCAATACATCTGGAAAAAAAGGCTGCGCAATTAGGCATTGCAATTCTGCAATCATGATTTTATGAATTGTAAGCCTCAGACAGCAATATTAACATTGCATTCTTTGCAAAATTTATCAGCACAGCATCTGAAGAACTAGCTTGGAATCCTAAATAGCTTTTCTATTTTCAGATCCAAATAGTTAAAATTCAATGCCATATTGTTTTGTTTACATTTATATTACCTTAAAAGAAATGTATTGTGTTCCTTCTACATGTGTTTCAACATTTGAAAGATTAATAGAGAGTGTTGTTTACTTTGCTGAGAAAAATTACCAAAAAAAAGGGAAGCTAAAATGATGTATGTATTGAAAATCCTTTGGGAATAGGGAGTTGGGGGGGGGTGATACAAAGTAAAGTTACATTAAAGTTATATACCTAAAATTTAGGAAACGTGCCTCATAGCTCCAGTATTTAACATCACTGGAATCAACAGGTTAGTGCCAAAATGGAGCAAGAAGGACTACATAGATTATTATGTACTTAACATTGTCTTAAGTATTAGCCTTGATTGATCTAAATGTGTTCTTAGCTCCTGTCTCCATTTGACTTAATATGAACAAATATTGTATAATCCCAGTATATTTTTCTGAATACAATTGCTTCCTTACACTGCCTATCATAAACTACTTTGCCAACTATTGAATGCTTCATTAGATCTATCCCCTCTCGAAAAAAGAAACGGGACAGCATTTTCCAGAGTCCAAAACATCCACAATATTCCAAATGGCTTTATTACTAAAGCATTATTTTTCAATTACCCATTTATTTCCAACGGATAGTCTTGCACTTGCAGTATGTAAATTCCAGGCTCATAGGTATCAAGGTGGAAGGAGAGTTTATGGCATTTTTAGCCTTTACTGACCTTGGATTCAGTGTTGCTATCATCAAAATACTCTGGAGAAAATAATTACATCTAAAACCTAAAGTTGGGTGGCAGTTAAAACTCATCTTTAAATTTTGTTACTAACGAAGAATTGGTGTAGTGTATGCTGCTTTCCTCTTATTTTTGCAGGCACTATTAAGTTACTATCTTAAATGTTCTGTAATTGATTGTTATGGCTTAGTTTATACACTTAGCCATAGCTCATGCAGCAACCCTAAAAATGGTTTGGATTTACCTGATATGGAAAATCCAAACTAAATAATGGATTAACACAATCTACTGTACTTTCGTCTGTAGTTGGAAGTTCTTCTTCCAAGACTACCAGCTCCATTGTACAGAATATGGTCTAATATATGTAGAAATCTTACAAAAGCAGAATAACCTGTATATTACTTGGATAATATAAGGCATTAGTTATACTAATTTTTTTACATGAAAGATAGTGTGTTTTTGTCATGTTTTTGCCATTTTTGTGGTTCATGTTCTTGTAATTATTGGCTATGAAATAAACAGTTGCATCAGTGATACAAGTAATTCAGTCAGATCTCAGAGACCTGACAGGTTTTTTTGAATTGTAGGTTTGAGAATAAGAATTGTACACCCATGTGGATATTGAATAAATTAGAGTAGGGTGTGTACAAACTTGAAAATGGTTTTGAGTCCATGCATAAAACATGCATGCTAGAGTTTTGGGCAGGATTATTTAGTGAAGATTATGATCCAACAATTTGATTCTGGCTTTCACCTGAAGAAAAAAAAAAGGAATCTTCAGTGGAAATAGGGCAAGGCTGATGCGCTTCACCTTCCATCTGGCCTGTGTCAGCCAAGACTACCGTACCTCATCTCCCTGATGCCACTCCTGAATTAAAGCAGCATATATGATTGGGCCATCCGTCCATCACTGATTCCATCACCTTTATAACAACAGTGATTGCTGTCACTATCCAATCAACCTACATGCTTCCCTGCCATCTGACCAGCATGTTGCATTTACCTACCACCACCACCCAACACTCATTTTTGTTTTCCTTGCTGTCCCCTCCCTGAGTACCTTTAGCCAGAACACATTCCAGGTGCATTTCCAGTCACAGCAAGTTCTGATCCAGGGAGAAGATACCTGATACTTCCCCTAAAGTGCACCATTTGATGTGCAGAATGTAAATTTGTACACAAGTTTAGTATGGCCAGTTTGCAACCTGAATGGTAATTTAGAAGTGGGAATAATACTTTTGAAAGTAAATCCTTTCTAAACCTGATTATGTCAGTGACTTCCTTAATTATAATTTAGATGTTTCAACTGAAAATGGTAACCACTATTTGGCTCAGGTCAGATCTGTCATTACTAATTGCTAATCCAGCCTTGATTATAGATTGGACTTGACCACTTTTTTAGGCCATTGAAATTAGCTAAATACAGTATATTTCAAAGCACATCTGAGATTCACAAAATGTGATTTGTTGAGCAAAACCATGGGATGCTATTACCAAGTATCACAAGAAGGAATATAAATGGAAAGAAAAAAATCTTTAAAAAAGGTAAGCACAGTAACTTCCAATTGGTAAAAGATAAGATAATAGGATTGTATAGATATATTTAGAAGAAATATACTATGCAATGGAGTTTCTAGTAACAGGACTGAGAACAATATTCTTGTTACAGACACTAATTTCCCTCCTTTTGAATCACAATTCCTATCCATCTCACTTTAAAATGGTGGGTTTAAAGCATACTGTCTTGCTATATCTGTCTTAGGCAATTCCCAGCACTAATGTGCAACATAAAATTATATTGTGAAAACACCCAACTCAGTAAAGAGGCACAGGATTGTGAGATTTTTACTATATTATATGATTTACAGTGTCAAATATTATTAAATTAGCAAACCATCAAAAGTTTTGTAGGCTTTAAGGGGAACCTGAGATGAAGTTGGATGAAGCGTTCTTGATCCTGTTTCAGCATCCTACCCCACCTGTCAGTTGGGATTATTTCTGAACACAATCACTACACACTTCTAAGATTGCATTGAACACAAGTTCAAAAATAGCCTTCCTGGCTGACAAAATGCCCAAAGAGATTGTGTGGGGTGAAATGGGTTGATCAATAGCAAGCTAACTCCATTGTTTCAAGGGGATAGAGATGCTGGCAGAGAACAACTAAAATCTGTTCTAACCTTGTAGCCTGCAAAAGCCAGAAATAGCCAGGACATAGCCCTGGAGAACATGGCTTTAGAGCAGACTTTTGGAATTACACCATTCTCATTGACGTCTAATGCTGTCAAAGCAGGCAGAAAAGGGGTATGCAAAGTGGCTTATGCATACCTAGAGTGATATAAGTAATCACGTATTGCACAAAGTAGCACAAGAAGTGTAGTTGCATAATTCACGTTCTAGAAGGGCTGACCAGTCAAGGTGATAACAATGTTATGCACAAGTTCATGGAAGTAATAAAAGTAGGAGAATGGCTACATTACACCAGCGCCTGCATTTTCTGTGTCGCATGAGAAAAGT